CTGTGCTAAAGGGTTGCAGGTGGGACGTACTTGTTGCCGACAGCACTCAGGACTGGCGGGGGAAAGAGATTGGCTGGCACGAGAAAGAGTTCGCGATCCTCCCTTCATCCTGAGAGCACACTGAGATACGCGAGTGAGCACGCAGCACTCGTCGAATCCGCTGGACAGGGGGAGTTTTTATTACCCCAGTAATATAGGGGTTTTCCAGAAATCCGGACGAGCACTTGCAGCATCAGCTGGCGATGCTTCCCTCATTATGTCCTTTCTCCTGCTTTCTTCTCTCCTCTGTAGCCATTTGCCTCAAGTGGCCCGTGCGGGCCGCAGGGGGAGCGCAGACTTGAACGGATGCTTCACTTCACATTTTGTGGAGCCTTCTGCGCAGTGTTCAGGGGGGCAAAGACCCCAATGCAGAGTCCAGGGGGCTCGATGTGGAATGGTAAAGATAAATCGTGTCATCCTTATTCTTGCCGTCAAACAGTGCCTCAACGGAGCGTTTGGTGGCAAACTACTGTTCGGGTTCGTTCGAGTCGCCCATCCGACCCCCAGAATGAGGATGCACGTGCGCTGTGTCATCCGCGGCGTCGATGCGGATAATGGCCTGCGCCCGATAGTGCTCAAGAACCGTGGAGACATGTCGGTTCGGGTGGCGCTCTCGATGGGCATCCACAAGTCCTGAAACGTGGCATGTCCCGAACGCGTTGCGCATGTCATGGGCTTGAGCGTGAACCCTAGTCTGCAGTGCATGAGTTTCCAGACCATGAACCTCATGGTGGCCATCAAGGCCTCACGGCGTCGATGTCGGATACCGCCGCGCGCCCTGGGAGGGGGGTCGAACTCAGAACCGTAAGCGACTAAACCAACTCGCAGGCATGAGCGCCAGAAAGGACATAATACATGCACCGTATCACCCCGCAATTGCGGACAAGAGTGAGAGGGCGGGCGCGGGCGACGCGGGCGTCGTCGAGCCGGCGGACCTCGCGGCCCCCGCCTTCCTTGTCGATGGCGCTCTCCTCCTCCTCCTCCTCCTCATCCCCCCCCCCTCCTCCTCCTCCTCCTCCACCTCCTCCTCCCCCTCCTCCTCCTCCACAATTACTCAATATGGATATACTCTCCCTCTTCCCCTGATGGCGTCCGGGCGATGGCCGCGCACCCTCCGCGTACTGTTTTTTTAACCACAGGATGCCGGGGAAATCCCGGGAAACGACTCTCGCTGAGGCGCCGGCGTCATTTTTTCCCAAAGTGCTGCTCTCGCGCCGGCGTCATTTTTTCCCAAAATGCTGCTCTCGTTGAGGCGCCGGCCTCATTTCTGCTCCCGAATCGTTCCGAATCGTGCTCCCGCTGCAGCGTGGGCCTCATTTTCGGATCGGTGTTTGGCCTCCGTCGTTCAGGATGGCGTTCTCGCCCCAGCGCGGGCCTTTTTCTCGCGCGCCCATCCGCCCGCCACCACCGCGCCGCACCGCCACCACCACCACCACCACCACCACAACCACCACCAGCACCAGCACCAGTACCAACACCACCACCACCACCCACCACACCACCACCACCAGCACCACCACCACCACACCACCACCACCACCACCACCACCACCACAACCACCACCAGCACCAGCACCAGTACCAACACCACACACCAGCACCACCACCACCACCACACCACCACCACCATCACCACCCACCACCACTACCACCACCACCACCACCACCACCACGACAACCACGCACACACGCACGCACGCACGCACGTGCACCACCACCCACTACGCACGCGCGCGCGGAGCCACAGGTCCGCTACGACACGCGTCCGCGGATAGCAGCGCCATGGTAAGGGTAGGACGTCAGATATGACGCGAGCGCACCTAGCTTGTCCCCCCCCCTCCCCCCCTCCTCCCCCTCCTCCTCCCCCCGTCCTGTTCATTCCTCCTGCCTCCCCCTCCTTTCCCAAGATAACTGCCACGCAATCCTTTTGTTCCACTTTATGCTTCCCGCCTTCTCTGATCAAAGCAACTCGCCAGGGCAGAGTTGCTGGGCGGGCTGGTGTGGATGCGCGTTGCTTGAAGAGGTCCTTTGCGGGCTCAGATGGCATGCGAACATCCGCCGCCGCATTTGTGCGGCATTGCTTTGTTCATGGAACGTGGTTTAGGTCGCGGGTGGGTCGCGGGCTCTCCACTTCCGCCTGGAAGGAATGCAAAGATGCCCGCCGCAGGCGCCAAACAAAATTGGCTTGTACACTGAACGTGGTTTGGGTCGCGGGTGGGCCGCGGGTTCTCCGCGGGGGGCGAATGCAAAAGATGCCCGCCGCAGGCGCCGAAATATGTATACGTTGTACCCTGAACGTGGTCGCGGGTGGGCCGCGGGCGTTCCACCTGAAACGAATGCAAAACATGCCCGCCGCAGGCGCCGAAAAATGCGGTTTGTACCCTGAACGCGGTTTGGGTCGCGGGTGGGTCGCGAGTTGGTCACGGGGTGTGTCGCGGGCTCTCCACCTGGAAGGAATGCAACAAAAAAAAAAAAAAAAAAAAAAAAAAAAAAAAAAAAAAAAAAAAACGCCGCAGGCGCCGAAAATGGTGGTTTGTACCTTGAACGTGGTTTGGGTCGCGGGTGGGTCGCGGGCGGGTCGCGGGGTAGGTCGCGGGTGGGTCGCGGGTGGGTCGCGGGTGGGTCGCGGGTGGGTCGCGGGGTGGGTCGCGGGGTGGGCTGCGGGCGGGTCGCGGGGTGGGTCGCGGGGTGGGTCGCGGGGTGGGTCGCGGGGTGGGTGGTCGCGGGTTGGGTCGCGGGGTGGGTCGCGGGTGGGTCGCGGGTGGGTCGCGGGTGGGTCGCGGGGTGGGTCGCGGGGTGGGTCGCGGGTGGGTCGCGGGCGGGTTGCGGGTGGGACGACGACAACAAAAAACAACAACAAACAAACAAACAAGCAAACAAACAAACAAACAAACAAAAACAACAGTAACAACAACAACAACAACAACAACAACAACAACAACAACAACAACATCAACAACAACAACGATAATCCGCACCGCGGAATTCCGCTTCAGCCGCGTACCCAGGGACAGAGAATGACCGTTCGGCCCCCTCACTTTGATCCTACGTAGAACCTCATTCGTGTCGTTCACTGCATTCCCTGTCGGGGCGTTGCTCTTCTTGGGGGTCATGATACCATGGCTAGTGTATGCATGTTGTGATAGTCGGTATGTAGCGCGTACATGTGCCAGTAGCCTATGGACTGCATCCCGACCTGCAGCAACGACAGCCAAATTGAGTCCCTGGAATTCGCGCTGATCGGGTCGGCGCGGGGGGCGACGTTCGTCCCGGCCCAGTCCATGAGTGATGTATTGGCTCTAGGGGTGTCCGACGCCCAGGGTGGGGACGCCAGGCTTGGTGAGGGTCAACGGGTGGAGGATCATCTGGGTGATCTCCTGGGGCCAAGACCAGGGGGCAGAGTAGCGACGGTGCCTCTGCATGTCCAGACGCTCTGTCATGAAGCGCAAGTCATCATCGGCCTGGGTCACGTCCTCGGGCGCGGCGTCCTGGCACTCGAGTCCAACTGGATAGATCTCGTTCAGAGGACGGGCGAGGAGGGAGAAGGTAGCATCCTCATCTGTCATGTACATGCTTGCGTATGCTGGCTCTGCTGCTAATCCTCCTTCTCCTCCTGCTCGCGCGAGTGCGGTGTGAAAATCATCGACAAGTGGGGTCGTGCAGACGGGAGTGTAAGATAAGATCGTTTACGGGCCCCCGTGCGGGTGCCGGCATGGAGTCGGGCAAGTTCGGCAATTCGAGCGGTTTCACGTTTCGCCCAGGTATATTTGAGCTGTTGTTCAACAGAATACTGCCACCACTCTCGCTACCATGTCGTAAACCTCTTGAGTTCGGCTGAGATCGCTTTCAACTCGGGGTCCTGGGGTTTCATGCCAATTCGGTCTTTAACATCGGATCGCTGACACGCTGAAGCATCGGCGGATTTCTTGATGTCGTGCAGGTATTTCTCCGGTGCACGCATGGATCAGTGTCGTCGCTCTGAGCACGCTTGAATCGTCGTATGCGTCTCTGCGTACTGAAGAATCCAACCGTGCTTGTAGGAGGCCAAGCGTTTGACACACATTTCAAAAGCACAATTCGACGCCGTGTGTGACCATCAGCCATCCGATTGGTATCCACGGCCAACGTGCGACCAACTGGCTATCTTGAATTCAGGTCTGCCATGGTTGACCGCGTGTTTGGGATATGTTATTCGATTGCTCGCCGCGCCCACTGCGCGAGCACCTGAGTAACTTGAACTTAGGTCTGCTATGCCTGACCGCTTGATTGGGATGCTTCTCATATGCACAATTCTGGACAGTCTGATCCGTGTTCGCCGTCACCTGTACGGTGTGAGTCGAGAGCCTGGAACTGACGGCAACACTTCTCTCAGGACCAGTTTTCTGCATTGTGCGGGGACCCTCTTCCCACGCCGGATCTGCCGTGCGCCACTGCAGAGGGAGCCACGGGCTCTCCTCTTCCAGGGTCTCGCCCTGCACGGGCATGCTCGCCATCGACGTGGTCGTGAATCGTGGACAGCTCTGTGCCGGAAGGCAGGCTCTTCATCCCCGTCTCCGGATCTCCTGCGATTGTTTGTGTTTTTCTCGGTGCGCGCGGCCCGAGAACGCCCGACCGCTTCCCAAGGGCTGGTGCTTTCGTCCCAGATCCAATTCCGATGGTCCTGAGCCCGATATCAGGGGAGGGAACACCATCCCGACCCCCCAATGATGGGCGTTTGCTCCACGGCCCTTGGCTTCTAGTGAACAAACAGCCCTGTCCTCTTCGTGGCCTTCCTTGGGTGTGCTTTCGAGACGGCGTCGCTTGTCGGGGTGCTTATTATGAGCGTGCTTTTCCTGCCCTCGACAATGTACAATAGTCCCAGGGGCTGGAATCGAGGGAAAAAGCCCAGATTGAAAAGTCATACCGTTAGAGATATCAAAGGCCTCTCCCCGCCCGCGCGCGTTGTTCCTCTTGGGCTGCAGGACTTCTTGGGCTGCCGGCAGCAGATCGGCACCTTCTTCGACAGGCTCCGGCGGAAGACCGAGGCAGCGGGGGGGTGTCGGCGTCGCACAGACATGGTAATACTATGTGTACGTCGCCTCCCCAGGGGCGACGCGCGCGCCGAGAAATCTTATAGTAGAAGCTCCGTGGCGGGCGCTTTCTGGCCGTACCGCTCGGGAAACGATACACTACACGATGGTGATACTATATGTTCGGCTCGGACGCACGCCTCCAAGGAGAACACATAGTACCAGTATGTCTTTGTGCGTCCCAGGGTACTCCTTCGGCTGGTGCCGCCCACCTCCTTCGGGGAAACGTGAGACTCGAGTACGCCGGAATTCGGTTTTGCCGACTTTTCTTCACCAGCGCGTCCAGGATTTTGACGGTCCAGTTTTCGTGGGATGTTGCAGCGGGAGCTCGCGCCACATTTCAGGCTGGGTCTCGTCATTCTTGTTGACGGCCTCGTCAGGTAACCCGAGTCCTCCGAACCCGAGTCTTACGTCTCCCCGATGGGGTGTGTGCTCCTTCGGCTGATGCCGCCCACCTCCCCCTGCTCTTCTCCAAGGCCACCCTCGCGTCGAACAACAAAAACACGACGTGAGGTTGTTCGCTATCTTCGGCCACTAGAACGGTCAAGAGACGAGTCAGGATGAAGAGCTGGTCCCCGGGAAGACCAACATTTGGGGCCTACGCCAAATACCGTTCTCACTTTCTAGCCACAATCGACACATTAGATGTCGCTGTTCAGATTTATAGATGTATTGACACATTCGGGGTGGACACGTCAGCAGACAAAGCGGGGCCGTTGCGTACGGCTTCGTGCAAGGTCGGATAATTATAGATCCATCTACACGATGTTTCTGCTCCGGAGCAGGTCCCACATGGTACTCCAAGGTTTGGATGTCGACCTGTTGTGAAATATCACGGCGTCGGGGGATCTGGGCTTTGCTCACCGTCCGTTCATTGCGTGTCCTCTTACCGTTGGTGTGTTGCTGTCGCTCCCTCTCCTCCCCCTCCTCCTTCTCCTCCTCCTCCCTCCTTCTCCTCCTCCTCCTTCTCCTCCTCCTCGTGCGTTCTCCTGCTGCTCCTGATCCTCCTGGCCCCCCACCCTCCTCACCGTCGTCCTCGTCATCTCCCTCGGCCTCGCCTCCCCGCTCCCCCGACCTCCACCACCCCCACCCCTCCCTCCTCCGCATCATCCGCACTCGCATCTTCGTCGCCGTTGTCCCCAGAACGGGACCCCGTCTGCGACCCGCCCGCGACCGACCCGCGACCCACCCGCGATCCACCCGCGACCCAGCCCGCGACCCGACCCGCGACCCACCCGCGACCCAGCCGCGACCGACCCGCGATCCAGCCACCTTGGTTCAACGACAAAATCGGGGCCTGCGGTGGGCTCGTAGTATTTTGTAAAAATTAGGCGCCTGCGGCGGCTTCTTCCGATTCTCGCAGGCTGCCGTCGTCCCCGCCGCCCACTCGCGTCCCACCCGTGACCCACCCGCGACCCACGCACCTTGCTTTGACAAGAAATCGGTGCCTGAGGCGGGCTCGTTGTATAGTTTGCAAAATTGAGGCGCCTGCGGCGGGCTTCTTCCGATTCTCGCAGACTGCCGACGTCCCCGCCGCCCACTCGCGACCCGCCCGCGACCCACCCGCGACCCACGCACATTGTTTTAATGAAAGAATCGGCGCCTGAGGCGGGCTCGTTATATCAGAGTGAGGGGGCCGAACGGTCATTCATTGTCCTTGGGTGCGTGGCTGCAGTGAGATTCCGCGGTGCGAATTCGTGTTGTTGTTGTTGTTGCTGTTGATGTTGTTGTTGTTGTTGTTGTTGCTGTTGTTGTTGCTGTTGCTGTTGCTGTTGCTGCTGCTGCTTCTGCTGCTGTTGTTGCTGCTGCTGCTGCTGCTGCTGCTGTTGTTGTTGTTGTTGTTATTGTTGGTGGTGTTGTTGTTGTTGTGTTTGTTGTTTGTTGTTTGTTGTTGGTTGCTGGTTGTTGGTTGTTGGTTGTTGGTTGTTGGTTGTTTGTTGTTTGTTGTTTGTTGTTTGTTGTTTGTTGTTTGTTGTGTGTTGCTGTTGTTGTTGCTGTTGCTGTTGTTGTTGCTGTTGTTGTTGTTGTTGTTGTTTGTTGTTGCTGTTGTTGTTGTTGTTGAACATTATTAATTCTAAAGAATAATTATTGTTGGGCCCCCTGGTGCGCGCCCCCCCCGCCGCGCCTAGGCCGCAGCCACGTTTTCATCATTTTCGTGAGGAAGCCTCAGGTAATTCGAGGTGATCAAGATCCGGTTGTTTTGTTGTAATCCGTTTTCCCTTGCAAAAAACACTATAAAATGACATTTCTTGTTCTAATATAATCAAATTTCAAGAATCCCTTGCAAAAAATAAGGTAAAGTGGACATTCGCGCGCGCAAGACGAAATCCTTCCAAAAGCTTAGTGTTCGGAGCGATTTTAACATAAAAACATCAAAAAACCAATGGTTTTTCAACAAAAAAATGTCAAAATCTCATCCCGCGCGCTCTTGCGGATTCGTAGGAAACCCAACACTTTTTAAACATTTCTGTCAAACGGGCTTTTGCGAGCAACTTTTTCGAACTTCTGCGACAACGGTTGCGCACCTGCCAGGGCCATCATCCCTGTCAAATAATACCATGCGGGACACATTCGTTTTTTCTTCGCGCGCGCACGCCGAAATCTCCAAAAACCATTGGGTTCTTAAGAATTTTAGCACCGCGCATCATAAAATCACACGAATCGCACCGTAGGTCCTCGAAAAACACTGCACGACTTTTCAAAATTTCCACCCGCGCGCGCTGTCCGAATCTTAAAAAAACCCACATCCCTCAGGAATTTGCCCTAAAGATGTGATCAACTATCTTGTGAGTACGTATCATGTGTATCATGTGTATCATGTACCATATGCATCATATGCAACAGATGTTCTGTGGAAGGCTTAACAACTTCTGTGGGTTAACAAGGCTTAACAACTTCTGTGGGTGTACGAACGTAGGCTTAACAACTTCTGTGGGTGTGTACTCCACGCCAGTGTAGTAGCCACGGTCGTCCGCAGGCCACGAAGTGAAGTGTCCGAACGTCATAGGGCGGGAAGCTGGGTGTGGGTGGTGGCGAAGAGTCGTGTGGATATTTGGTAGAGCTTGCACTGCCCCCCCACAAAGTGGGGGTATTGGCTGGCGTCGCATGAAAACCCTGGCACTGGTGAGAACACTGAGCGTTCGGGTAAAGTGATTGTTGTTGTTGTTGTTGTTGTTGTTGTTGTTGTTGTTGTGTCGTCGTCCCACCCGCAACCCGCCCCGCGACCCACCCGCGACCCACCCCGCGACCCACCCCGCGACCCACCCGCGACCCACCCGCGACCCACCCGCGACCCACCCCGCGACCCACCCCGCGACCCACCCCGCGACCCACCCCGCGACCCACCCTGCGACCCACCCTGCGACCCACCCGCGACCCACCCGCGACCCACCCCGCGACCCACCCCGCGGCCCACCCCGCGACCCACCCGCGACCCACCCGCGACCCACCCCGCGACCCGCCCGCGGCCCACCCCGCGACCCACCCGCGACCCGCCCGCGACCCACCCGCGACCCACCCGCGACCCACCCGCGACTCACCCCGCGACCCACCCGCGACCCACCTTCGACCCAAACCACGTTCAAGGTACAAACCAACATTTTCGGCGCCTGCGGCGGGCTTTTTTTGCATTCCTTCCAGGTGGAGAGCCCGCGACCCACCCCGCGATCAACTCGCGACCAACCCGCGACCCAAACCACGTTCAGGGTACAAACCACATTTTTCGGCGCCTGCGGCGGGCATCTTTTGAATCGTTCTAGGTGGAGAGACCGCGGCCCACCCGCGACCACGTTCAGGGTACAAACCAATTTTTTCGGCGCCTGCGGCGAGCATCTTTTGCATTCGTTCCCGGTGGAGAACCCGCGGCCCACCCGCGACCCAAACCACGTTCAGTGTACAAACCAATTTTTTCGGCGCCTGCGGCGGGCTGCTTTTGCAGGAGGACGAGGAGGGGGAGGAGGAGGAGGAGGAGGAGGAGGAGGAGGAGGAGCAGCAGGAGGAGGAGGAGGAGGAGCAGCAGCAGCAGGAGGAGGAGGAGGAGGAGGAAGGGGACGACGACGATGACGTCGACGACGACGACGACGACGAAAAGGAGGAGGGTGGAGGATCGGGAGGGGGGGAAGAGGAGGAGGACGACGAGGAGGAACATGACGACAATGGGAGGACGATGATGGAAGGACGAGGGGGGGAGAGGGAGGACGAGGAAGAAGCGGAGGAGGAGGAGGAGGAGGACGAGGTGGAGGAGGAGGACGACGATGACGATGAGGACGAGGACGAGGACGAGGAAGAGGAGGAGGAGTAGGAGGAGGCGGAGGAGGAGGAGGAGGAAGAGGAGGAGGAGGAGGAGAGCGCCATCGACAAGGAAGGTGGGAGCCACGAGGTCCGCCGGCTTGACGACGCCCGCGTCGCCCGCGCCCGCCCCCTCACTCTCATCCGCAATTGCGGGGTGCTATATTATTTGTGAACTTGAGGCGCCTGCAGCGGGCTTCTTCCGAATCTCGCAGACTGCCGACGTGCCGCCCACTCGCCACCCACCCGCGACCCGCTCGCGACCAACCGCGACCCACCCACACTGCTATAACGAAAAGATCGGCGCTTGTGGCGGGTGATTGTGAGAGTGAGGGGGCCGAACGGTCATTCAGTATCCCTGGGTGCGTGGCTGAAATGGGACTCCTCGATGCGGATTGTTGTTGTTGCGGTTGAACCTCATTTCTGAAAAATAATTACTGTTGATCTCCCCCGTCCGGTGCACATTGCTTTTTCAATTGAAGTGCCCTTCCCGGGGCTCGCACCCTGTTTTTTATCAGGGAAAGTCTTGAGGGTCAAACTGTGTCGTTGGCCCCCGGTTTACAACAACAACAACAACAACAACGGCTCCCGCTTGAGATTTCCTCGCACTTTAGCCAGGACCCCCGCTCCCGCCCGAGACTTCCTCGCGTTTTATTCAAGAATCGCGC